CCTTCCTTCCTTCCTTCCTTCCTTCCTTCCTTCCTTCCTTCCTTCCTCCCTCCCTCCCTCCCTCCCTCCCTCCCTCCCTTTTTTCCCCTTCCCTCTTCATTCTCCTTTCTTCTTCCTTCCCCTCTTTCCTTATTTTTCCTTCCTTGCTCTCTTTCCAACTTACTTTCTTTTTCTTTGTCTTTCTTCTTTCCTTTTTTCCTTTCCTGTCCCTTCTTGCTTAAATGCAAAAGGGAAAACATTTCTCCTTTTGTTTTGTTTTGAGTTTGTTTTTCTAGCTCTCTGCTAGCGGGCTAGAAAAACGGAGCCCTTGAGGACTGTGCGCGGGGCCCCCAGGGCCCGTTTTTGGCCACAATGGTCTCCTGCAGGAGCACCTCGGGTTGGTTCTTTGCTGTTTCCTGAGTGCCCCGATGGGCCAGATCTAAGCATCCTACGGGCTGGATCTGGCCTATGGGCCTTGAGTTTGGCACCCCTGAGCTAGCCCATATTACTAAATGTAATATAATATATATTTCCAATCCTAAATCTGTGACATAGCAGATTCCATTTCATTTTCCAATGCGGAGGATGTATTTCAAGATGTTACAAGTTATAGTAATTTGCCTGGGCACTCCCAAGTTTGAATATAAAGCAGAATTTTTAAAACCAATCAACAGAACCCTTACTTTCCATGAGAACTTGGTGGGATTCCATGAGAGAATTCAGGGGATAAAAAAATGTGACTCACACAGAGCCATTTTTTTTCACTAGGGCTTTGCATCTTGATCAGGATTCGGTTTCTATATGGTTTAGTTATATTTTAAAGAACAACTTCCACAGCCTGAAAACCTCCAGCATGAACCATTGTAGGTACCCGTAGATACTCCAGGAATGAGCAAGGAACATTGCAAATTGCAGCTGTGGAACACTTCACCTGGTCATAAATATGAGGCAATTGCCAAGTACCTGAAATATGGTCATGTGACTGTGGGAGGGCCAGTATAATGTTATATAACAGCTGGAAATGCTTTACAAGCCATGAAGCACTCTTTCTGAGGCTATCATAATGTTGCACAGTTAAACAACCAAAATAGTTTGATTTATTTTATGTATTGATTTATTTATTTTAAATATTTGTATAGCCACCCGTGTTATAACAAATTCTTAGCATCTCTCAATTCAAGCATTTAGGTATTCATGTTTACCTAAAATAGAATTAGTAGTATAACCATCATGAATTAAAATTGTTTATTCGAAATTAAATATCTATGTAGTGCAATAATATGTATTCAAATATATCAGAAACTTAAATTACTTTTTAAAAACCATTTTTGTAGCAGCGGCCTTTTTCTTTTTTCTTTTATTCTCAAAATTAAATGAAGCTCAGTGAAATATTATTTGACTATTCTGATAATTAGAGTCTGATTAAATAACTGTTACACTGTAAAGATGCAGGAAACTTGTTTTTATGTACTCATGAATAATTTGGGAACTGAAGCTAATTATTAAGTATACCAGTCTTTATTCTCCTGTAGTTTTAAAATGCTATTCCATCCATGGACACATTTCTGTTCTTCCTATAGGTACTACAGCAAACTTGAGCTTCTCAGTTTTATCCGTGTCTAGATATATTAATGCCATTTCATCTGTTATCAGATTTGTGAATATATTTTAGTTTATTATTATGGTTGGTTTTTCAAAGTTATGCTTAAATTTATGAGTTTTATGTGTCAATGAGTTTCGAGCAGCAAGAAAGCTCATAACTTTCAAGAGTAATGAGAAAGGATGTGTTACATTATATACAGGACTAACTGTGTAAGCACAGTAACTATGTTTCTGTCTTGTTGCTGTAGTGATATTGGAATTGGTCAATCTCAGGATGATAGCATTGTAGGTTTAAGGCAGACCAAGCACATTCCACCTGCTCTACCTGTCAGTGGAACACTGTCATCAAGTAATCCTGATTTATTGCAATCACATCATCGAATCTTAGATTTCAATACAACCCCGGGTGAGTATCAAATTTTGATTGTCATCTAGAATCAACCTTTTATTTTGTTGATGAATATAGAAACTGACATGAAACATGTGCGCCTTAAGTTCAGTTGTGTTTGCTTCATGTCACAGTAAAATATTTAGAAATGGGTAAGACTATTTATTTATGGAGGGAGGGAGGGAGGTGAGAGAGAGAGAGAGAGAGAGAGAGAGAGATACATATACATATACATATACATATACATATACATATACATATACATACATACATACATACATACATACATACATACATATATATATATATATATATATATATATATATATATATATCTGGGGATTTTCTTTCTCTTTCTCTCTCTCCCTCACACACTCCCACCCCCTCCAAAGCAGCTCCATTCCTAGCCTGCTTTGAGCTCTGTTCTCAGGCTGCGTACAAGGAAAGCAGCAGAAGTCTTTCTTTATCTCCCCCCATACTCTCCCAGAAACGAGTCTTTGCCAGTGCAGCCTCTTGGAGCAGGATGCCTTGCAGGATCCCAAAAACTCATTTCTGGTGGAGTTTGGGGGAGAGAAAGAAAGACTTCTGCTGCTTTCCTTGTGTGCAGCCAAAAGCAGAAGAAGAAAGAAGCGGAAGAAGCAACCCGGTGGCCAGGCAAGTTTCCCCCTCTGCTCTTTCCCCGCTCCCCTCACTACCTCGTGTTGTTCCTAATGCAAGCGACACAAGTCTTGTGTTCCTGTGGGCCATGTGGGGCAGAGCAGCCTTTTGTTCCTCGCAGCCTGTATTAATTGCGGGGGGTGCTTTGGGGTGACATTTCTCTGCAGACCACCAAAATTTCCTTGCGGCCCACCAGTGGGTTGCGGCCCACCAGTTGGCAACCACTGCTCTGGAGCAGTAGAGAAGTTGTGTGACAACTCTTTAGATATTTCAAGATTATATTTATGCTATATTTATGCATAAATATACTGTGATATTTTTTCCCAGCCATATTTTCAGTAAACTAAAAATTCCCAGATTGTTTAACTGTTCTCCATGGCATATAGAATTCAGTTAAGAGAACGGTAAAGAGAAAGAAAGGACAGTGGAAAAATAGACGTTCTCTGAAGAAGAGAAATGTATTGCTTGAAGTTAGTAAATAAAATACAAAGAAATTTTAGTTTATAAAGAGAAGTGAAATAACTATCTTGTAGAATAGCTGATAATGATTATAAACTATTATATACTTCCTCAACAAATGCTATGTGCTTTTTTGAAAACTATTTCTTAATATTCTATAGTCTATTTAATGTCAATATATATTGTTCCCTTAGGAATTTTGAAGGAAGTTGTATTTTAATCTCAAGCTGCCATTTGTATTTTAATAGCATGTTCACAGTTTAAATTAGTTGGTGTTAGTATTGACTGCATAAAGACTAAGATGGAGGAACATCCAGGTATTAGTACTTCAGGATCCTAAAATAGAAAAAAAAAGATAGAATTGTTGTCTATTATGGTTAAGAAGTTTGTAGTGCTGCTTAGGCAAGAGTGTTTAGTTACATGAATATTTTAAACTTGTAGTTCCAGAGTAATTGGATTGTACATTGAAAATTCAAATTACATTTTAATAGGTTTGGGTAATAATCCAGATTTGTATTTTAAATCTGATTATTTCATTGTATAAGGCATTCACTTAAGATCTTTAAATATAATTTAATGCAAGATACTAATTAGACGTTCCATTTCCTTTACTTGAATTTACTGTGACATAATGCAGTTCTTGGTAGACATTATAGATTTGAAACCTTGCATATTATAGTGTCCATTCCATATCATTCAGAGGTATACAGGTAGCCCTTAACTCATGATGGCAACCGGAACTGGAATTTCTGTTGCTAAATTATCATAAAGCATGACCACATCTCTTAGTGATATTAATCCTCACAATCTCACTGAGATGGTCAATCAAATCCCACAGTGGTTACGCAAGGCAATTTTATGCTGGCTTTCCATAATAAAAGTCATTGAGGAAGCTGCAGGAAGTTGCAAGTTTCAAGGTGGCAGGCAGGTAAGTGGCGGTTGCTAGGTGGGTAAGAGAATGAGGGGGTGCACAGGACACAATAAGATGTCAAGGAGGCAATACAAGGGGTGAGTAAGAAGCATGGGTCAAGGAAGGGAGCAAGGGATACACAAGAATGAGAGGGAGGTGTAGTGCAGGTCAAGGAAGTGTGAGGGAGTGTTCGATTTGCATGGCATTGATCAGGGAGGGTGCAATGAGGTGCATGTGACCTTGGGTTAAGGAAAGTATGAACTCCAGAGTAGTGTGTACCTCTTCCTTTTTCATTACTGGTACATTAAAAATGAGGGAGGTTCAAAAAAATTGCCCCCGCTTTCAGCAAATCAGTATTTCACACTATATTAGAACATTTGATCCTTAATTTTGTCTCATGTGATTCATACACAAAGATACCCTAGTCTGCTAACTTTAGAGCTTAAGATTTTGATAGGAGCTATAACTCGTTATGAAACACTTCATGAAAACATAGGACCCCTGCCAACCATTTCAGTCTTGTTTTGATTTTGATTTTTTAAAAAGCCATCTTAATTCTTCCTCTCATGTTTTCAATATTTGATTGGTATTGTTAGAATTTGTTAGAAGCATCCCACCCCCAGGTTCAGTTGCTGGTTACTCATCTATACATATGATTCAAGCAGTGATTAAGCAACTGGTAACTGGTGCTTTGTAACTGATCATCCATAAATTTACACGGGCCAGCAAACTACCCTACTCAAGACTGAGACTAGTATATATTTTGGATCCATTCTGGTAGTCATCAGAATTGAGACGGTTGGAGATACTGCTGTCTTTGTATGTAACATGATATGACAGGGCTCATATCAAAATAATGGATTTTGTTTTAGAACATTCAACTTGATTCATTGTACAGATGCAGAATGCCTGTATGTAAATTTACAGATGACCACACAAAAAACATAGTAACAGGTAAAATACTAACTCTCTTAATTAATCATGACTAAAGCTTTTGAAAACAAATCAGTTTTATAGCTTTGAAGTTGGTTATTTCAATAAACAAGTACAAAATTGGTAGAGCATGATGCTAAAATAAGTTTATTTAAAAATACCAGGTACAGTAGAGGAAGGTTGACGGGGGAGCTTGCCAAATTTGACTTTAGTAATTTTAATATAGTTCATTACTTTGCCTTCATGCAGTAAATAAATTTCCAATATGATTATAGATAGTTTCTTGGTTAACGATTTATTCAGCAACCATTTAAATTTATGGTAGCAGTGAAAAAGTAGATTTATGATTGGTCCTTGAACTTTCACCATTGCAATGTCTCTGTGATATGGGTTCTTCACTACCTGCAAGCAGTTACGACAATCACAGTGACCTATGGTGAAGTGATTTGTATTTTTGACCCTCATAGCCAGCTTCTGTCCCACAAAGTCAATGGAGAAGCTGGCAGTAAAGTAACAAGTCATTGTCATGTGATATCATGTTTAACAACTGTGAGTTATTTGTTTAACAATTGTAACATAATTAACATAAGTTAGATTTGGTTATATAATGTTATAATGTTCACTTAACAATCACATCATTTTGTGATGAAGTTGCCAGCCAGTCATTAAGTGAGGACTACCTGTATACCAACTGTTTATTGAATAGGTGAAAATATATGGTACACTTTACAGAGAGGTCTGTTGTTCAGATCTAGTGTATCCATTCTACATATGTCTTAGATGTGATATCTAATATAAATAGGAAAACAATATTCTAAAAACAGGATACTTAAGGTATTTATGCAAGAAGGATTTATCATGAAGAAAAAGTTATCAGAAGAAAAATATCCCTATTCTTATTATATTATTCCTTGCTGAGAAACAGTGACACTTTATTCTGTTATATGTCTTAGTGTATTTTTCTTTTCATTACAGATTTACCAGATCAGGTACTACGAGTTTTTAAAGCAGATCAGCAAAGTCGCTATATTATGATAAGCAAGGACACAACTGCAAAAGAAGTAGTTGTTCAAGCTATTCGTGAGTTTGCTTTAACCACCACCCCAGATGCTTATTCTTTATGTGAGGTCTCTGTCACTCCAGAGGGTGTCATTAAGCAGCGGAGACTTCCAGATCAACTCTCCAAACTTGCGGACAGAATACAGCTTAGTGGAAGGTGAAAAAATAGATACTATTTTGGCTTACAATTGGTGTCCAGTAAATAAAGTCATTTGGAAGCTGTTTATTTATTTAAACCTGATAGGTTAATATGTGAAAAATATTTTTCAGGTATTATCTGAAAAATAACATGGAGACAGAAACTTTGTGTTCAGATGAAGATGCTCAGGAATTGCTAAGAGAGAGCCAAATTTCTCTACTGCAGCTCAGCACTATAGAGGTGGCTACCCAACTCTCCATGCGTAATTTTGAACTGTTCCGCAACATTGAACCTACAGAGTACATAGACGATTTATTTAAACTGAAATCTAAATTAAACTGTGCTAATTTAAAAAAGTTTGAAGAAGTAATAAACCAAGAAACCTTTTGGGTAGCATCTGAGATTTTGCGAGAAACCAACCAACTGAAAAGGATGAAGATAATTAAGCACTTCATTAAGATAGCTCTGCACTGCAGAGAATGCAAGAACTTTAACTCAATGTTTGCAATAATAAGGTAAGCAACGATAGATTTCTTTCTCATGTTTATGTAGAAGGGTATCAAAGGTTAACATGTTTTGTAATTAAAAAGGTATTGGAAAGTAGGATACACATACACACATACTGTATATTTTTAGGAATTAGTAAATTTATATTACAAAAATATTTCATCAACCTGAAGCGATCTCAGTAGCTATAAAGACAAGAGTAATGTAAAATACTAAGTTTTCTTCCCTGTTTAAATAATAATTACAAGTTTACATTATAAATATATTTATAAGCATTCTTAAGTATCCCAAAAACTTGGACTGAAATGAATGGCCACAAATTTCTCTTTTAAGAGTTAATGCGACATAAGTTTGTTTGTTTTAGAAAATTTATATTGCTGTCTACTCACCCATGGCGAGTTAAGGCTGTTTACACAAATATAAAAACATCATATAAAAATAAAAATAATAAAAGAAAATAATAAATAATAATACAAAAAAATAGTAGTCTCCACCCACTTCCCATCCTGGTGACAACACATATAGAAGTCCTTTAAAAGTCACACAATGTAAGTTACATTTAAAAAGTAGTAATTGTTACCCATAATGGGGGAAAATCCAATTCAATGAAGTTTATAAAATCATTGAAAGCTTTTGAGTTTTTAAGAACTCATAATGAAGCACAATAGAGAATATGAATGTAGCCAAGTTTCATATTTTCTATACTCATTACTATTTATAATATAACAATACTATCTAATGTACCCTTGCAGAATCCTCTCTTTCAGTTAAGTTTTCAACCATTATCTCTGAATCCTTGTACGTTTTCCCTGCTTCTCTATATCCTGTTTCTGTCCTTTATAACTTCTTCTCCTTTCCATTTTCCCCCTCTTCTTCTCCCTCACCTTTTTGACCCCCTTTCTCTCTAATTCTAATTCTCCCTTCTGTAATCCTTTCTTCTGCTTCTTTCTAGTATTATAATTACTTTTCAAGCTATTCTTTTTTTTGTTGTTGTTGTTTTCTCAGATCTTAAGTTTTTCCCTCCCTTTCCCCCCTTTTCCTCTTTAACCCCACATAGCATTACTTGATCATTAAAGATGGCTTCTTCTTTGTCCCACCCTTCTTGTTCTGCAAGCATTTCTTGTTGTTTTTCATAGTTCAAAATCTCCATTTCTAAAAATTGAGATACGAAGCCAAAAGATCCTCTTCCCTCTTGTGCATCTTCTTTCTTTCTGTTTTTTAAGTTCCATTTTTAGCTCTTCAGGGAGTGATGCCATTTTAAACACTTTTAAACAACCACCCCATTAATTTTAGTCATTAAAATCCAACAACCAAAAATCCAAAAATCACCAAATAATCCAAATAATCCAGAGCTGCTGCTTCTTACTTCTTCTTTCCACTTTCTCTTTCCGGAGGTTCTGTTATCTTGTGGTGAAGTTTCAATTACAATTTATCTTGTTAAGATTTCTTGTTAAGATTTCACTGTTAATTCTTAATTTCAGGTGGTTTCCTCCATTTTTTCCAGATCCCACCCTTTTCTTTTTTTTCTCTCTCCTTTTCTCCTTTGAAATATTTTGAAATATCCAAAAGTCTTTATTGTCCCTTTGACATTTTATTTTCAGCTTAAAATTGCCTACTAATGTCAAAGTGGATTTATATCAATTTCTTGCTTAGATCTCTTCTTCTTAGCATTTAAAGCCAATTACAGCAGTCAATATGAGAGAAAAAAAACACCAAATCTTTTCCCTTTCCTCTCTTTCGCCGCTTCAAAAATCTTTTTTGGGAATAGTATTATTCTTTATAATTCAAAGCCCAGGGTACCTTGTATTGTTGTCTTCTCAGTTCGACCTGGTTAGTCAAAACTTTCTCTTTTATCTTCCTCCTGCACAATCTTGTCCGGTCGGGTTCTTCTTTGAGGTGGCCATTTCTGACCACCGCTGCAACTGCCTTTGGGAAAGGGAATAATGGCCAGCCGAGGAGGAGAGATGTGGCTCTTCTCAATCCCACTGGTAGTCTCCCCCGTCTTCACCTCTACGGGGTGGCTTTAGTCCCGAATCCAAGTGGCTCGGGGTACTCCGATGGCGAGCACGGATCAAAACCACCCACGATCGTGGATTTTGGTCCGTCGCCAAAGAAGCCCAAACCAGAAGTCCTGAATACAATGTCTTAAAGACCCCGAAGTGGCCTGTCATGGCATTGGGCTGGGTTGTCATGGCATTGACACAGGACAGTGCCATAGAGGGGTCCATCAGGAACGTAGAGGTGGTCGCAGAAGCGTAACAGGTCCTCCATATATGTCCACAAGGCCTCAGTCCTCCCAGTGCTGGCCAACTTGCGACAATGAGCCTCCCCCCTCGCTTGGTCATCCTATGCCCTCTCTCCTTCGCTGGCGACCCTTCCCAGGCCCAAGGGACCTGGGATTGTCTCGTTCTGCTCCTCCGGTCATTCCCCGGGTGCAAGAGAGGCTGTGCCATCTTCCTCTGTCGGTCCTAGCTCCATCATGTCATTCTTCTCGGATGCAGTCCCTGAGGGGGCATGACAGTATTCGAACTTGGTTTTGCTGTTTGGCTTGGGTCCCTGAGAGGGCCATTTACCACTGGAGGTGGTTGACAGGGTAAAACAACTTCATCCCTATGCCCCTTGACTCCTTGGTTCTGTTTTTCCCCATAGTTTTAAATTTTTTAATGTGCATAGTTTTAAATTTTAATTGTTTTGCTGATTATCTTTTTATGATATGTAAACCACTCATAGTTGCCTTATTGGGGACATGGTTGGCATATTAAATCAATCAATAAACAATCAATCTGTATTTCTTTATGTCAACCAAAACTCCCGTATTTCTTTTTTAATTCCTTGTCCATACAACTCAATAAGTATAATTCTAGTTTCATCATGATATTAGACTGTAATATCTTTTTCATTGTTGTATGAATTTGTATCCTTGTTTTTGCTTTTTTGCCATGCGTGTTAATAAGTTCACCCTTCCTTTTCACATTTCTAGTCCTTATTTGATATTTCTTTTAAATTTTAGACAATTTAGTTAATGTCATATATCATCAGTAAATTGTTTTGCAAAAATAATCTCTTAAATTATAGCACAATATATGTTTAACACTAACTCTCCACAGTAACATGTTTTCTGGAGTTTTTTAATGTTTAAAATCTTAAATATCAAAGTTTGAACATGGTACAGTAAGTTTATACTGAGGTCCGTATCTTGTCCCTTATTATAATTAAATATGAAAACATGCAATTTTGATCTGTTAATATCTTAATACCATTGAAAGAAGTTAGGATACTTAATTCAGGCATTTTTGTTTGAGTACATTCATTCAGTAATCATAATGCAACTGAAAAGTCAGTTTATAACTGGTCCTCACACTTATGACCCTTGCAGCATCCCTACAGCCACATGATAAAGATTCAAATACTTAACAACCGGCATGATATTTATGATGGCTGCAGCATCCTGGCCATTTGCAACCTTCCTAGCTAGCTGATTTCTGACAGTCTGTAGAGGAAGACAGATTCGCTTAATGACTTAATGTCATTTATTTAACTACCATGGTTATTTGCTTAACCACCATTACAAAAATAATAAAAAGGGAAGACTCACTTAATGACCACATTGCTTAGCAATATTAATTCTGGTCCCAGTTGTGGTTGTAATTGAAGACTGCCTATATTTTAGCCAAATTACTATGAAAATGAAGGCTGAATGTCAAATGTCAGGGCAGAGACTCAAGCCTAAGAGAGTTTTTTATAATAATCATTGTCACATCTTTGTACTGTATTCCTTTGTGTTGTAGCAGTGTTATAAAATACTTGGGAGAACATTTAGAAAAAGAGAAATACTGTATTATCTTTTTATTGTCCTTCAATTCACTGTTCAAAGATTTCTGCTTTTATTTTAAGATTAAACTCTTGAAAAGCTTTCTTCACTACTGTCTGATTTTCAGCTATGTTTATGTCAACTGAATTAATTTAATTCTTGATTTACAAACTGAATATGAGTGGTGCACATGCAAATTTCAAAAACCTTTTAAAAATATTGTTTAGTGGTCTGAATTTAGCTCCGGTTGCAAGATTACGAACCACGTGGGAAAAACTTCCAAGCAAATACGAGAAATTGTTTCAAGATCTTCAGGACTTATTTGATCCATCTAGAAACATGGCAAAATACCGCAATGTCTTGAATAGCCAAAATCTACAGCCGCCCATTATTCCATTGTTCCCTGTAATAAAAAAGGATCTTACATTTCTTCATGAAGGTCAGTTAAAATTACATCAGGTACTTAACCACGTATTCAGCATTCTGCTGAAGTGTGTCAATTGTTTTTACAACAGATAGAAAAAAATGAATAGTTCTTTGCCAATAATTATTTTGTAACATAGGAAATGATTCCAAAGTGGAAGGTTTGGTGAATTTTGAGAAACTAAGAATGATTGCAAAAGAGATCCGCCATGTGGGCCGAATGGCTTCTGTTAATATGGATCCTGCTTTAATGTTCAGGACTCGGTGAGTAAATGCTGACCAACAGAAAATCAGTTAAAATATGTATTAAATAATTTACTATGTAATAAGAGGCAGGCATACTGTACTGTAATCATTAATTACTTATGTTTATTTACTTAACTAATAAGCATGTAGAATTTTAAATGAATTGGAAAAGAGATCATTATTTCTTAGATAACTACATGTTTTTACATAATCATGGATTCTTGTATTTATCAATCTGAAACAATCTGTAATGGTCTTTTTAGCATTTTTTTTACAACTATAGAAATATTTATTTACCTTTAAAAATGACATTAAAAATTAAATCTTTTGCTATAAAGCTGTGGTTTGGCAGTGATGAGTAATTGGGGATCACCCTTTCAAGTAAAACAGAAGCCAGAACTTGTCTACATCCACAAGGCTCCCCGCCCCAATTCAATAAGGCAAGAAATGAATTACAAGTCTGGTTGCTTTTGCTACATATAGCACCATTCAGGGCAATGCCCTAGTATAAAAAGTATATCTATGGCCTTTATCAAGCATGGGAGTTCTAGCATCCTTGTAGAATATAATAGGTTTTTGAGTAGAACCAATGAAGTCCTTGGAGAACTTTGGGAACTTTGAGAACTTTTTTGGCATTTTTAAGTAATGTACTTTCCCTTTTGAGGTTCACATCAGAATCCAACATGTTCAATCAACATTATCCAACATGTTCAATAAACATTATACGTAATAGATGAACTACTCATCATTTAGACATTAGTATTCAGGGTTTGCCTTCCCACTGATTTATCTGTGGTTCTCTCGTTATGACTACTTCAGCATAAGCACTCAGATTGTTCTATTACCATGTCACATTTTCTAACAATTTGAATAACATCCTACCAATGTTTATTCAGGAAAATTAGATGATTCTATTGACACAATTAATTCAGTGCAAGCAATCTTAAATTGTAATTGTTCTACATACTTGATATATTCCATGTCGAATCCTTTATCATTCTCACTGGTCATATATAGGCACAATTCAGAAATAGTATTATAGTGGAGAAAGGAGTGAGGTAAAATACCTGAGTAATTTACACAAAAGAGAGGAGAAAGAAGAAGAAAAATAAAAAAAATGTCTTAAGCCATCATCTATTGTGCTTCAAATTTAGTTGTTTATTATAATCATATAATCATATGTATAATCATATCATTTCATGATTATGTAAGAAGAAGGCAAAACAAGGAAAGAAAAATAAAACAGTGCAATGACATTGTGCTATCAGATTGAATCTGAAGTTTACTGTTGTCTAGTTTTAACTAAATCCAGCTTGAGGGTTTTTTTGTTTCAGAACTACTTTTGAATTCTTAAATTTATCAAATATCATGCTGAACTATGATCAAAATGCAACTACTACAGTATATACCATGAATGAGTTTTAAAGTAATTTAGGGGAAAAAAAATTCATTCATTGCTATTCATAAAGATGACTGTCCGTTGCAGGATCGTTTTTTGTGTTCTAAGCAAGAAAAGAGAACAGACAATGTAATATTCTTGATTAAAGACAATAAAAGACTTTCAAATTGCAGTGTACAATTAGTCACTATCTTATTTACCTTTAATCAGGATGAATAGGGGAAGAAATAGTGTCGTACAACATAAATCTCCTGCACTTAATTTCATGAAAGCCTTCCATATTGTTAGTGTATCTTGCCCAGAAAGGCAAGAAAATGTGTTAAATAGGAATCCAAAATTTATTTTCCAATGAAAAACTATCCCAAAAATGTGAATCAGGCTTTATTGCTTTGTTGTCTGGGCAATTGGTGTTCGTTCCATAGGGAGGTCCAAAGCACATTCAAAACCAACATGCCCCTATCGGTCCCAATCCAATGTCAAAGATATATAATGGTTAATTGTTCTGAAAAAGTGCCCGAGAGAAGGCTATTCTGAGATGTCTGTTACAGCTTGTCCTGAAGTCTGACTCTTTTCTTCTGAGCTTATAATCTTTCTCTGTCTCTTCTTTAAATCCATGCTTCAATATTCATGGCTCTCACTTGCAGGAAGAAGAAATGGAGGAGTCTGGGGTAAGTGGCTGGAGAGAACGATACAGGCAGCCATTCCTTTCGTGAACTTCTGCATTGTACTTTTCTTGCTTCTCTTTAATTTTCTGATGCCTTAGCACTTTTTCCTTTTTGATAACACTTTGTTACTTACATCAAATTTAATCCTAGTGCTTCTTTTGCTTGAGGTCATAAATGTAAGAGCTGTGAAACTTTACAAGTCATGAGACACTCTGATTGGATTTAGCAGTCCCATGTAATTAGATTTGTGTTCCAAAATTGGGTTGTGTGATGATGGTTCAGTTATATCAAAAAATAAATTTAGATGTGTCTCATAAATTAGGTGCACTATTCAAATTTGTGTGAACTACATTTTAAATATAGTGCTTTTTACAGCTCAACTAACTAAATTATCTTTCTACAAATCGGTCTTCATTCAAACCAAACTTCATTTTTGCTGTTAACGACTTAGATATAACTCCCATACAGAAAAACATCCAAATCTGCATGTTGTTTCCTTATTAACTAATAAGAGTCTTTATTGTATAACAAGAAATTCATTTCAACCAGGAAAAATGAAAGAGGAGAGAGATTTGTTACAGTATTTGCAACAAATTAAATGTTTTAATAAATATAATTCCAAATATACATTGTTTAAAAAGGTATCTAACATTAAGCTTCAGTGAAATTTGATTTGTATTTACTCACTACGGACATTTTTATGCATGAGTCCATTTTGTTTACTAGTACTGCTTTTGAAATAGATTATTGTGAAGAATTAGTATGAATCACCTCCCAATGATGTAGAATTTGATTATTTTTTATTTTGGGCAGAGGAGGTATTATGGATATATTTTAATAAAGATATGCAGAGACTTATAACTAAAATGTGATTTTAAAATCCTTGATTTTTAGCCTTTATTTTAGTTGTATGACTTACCTGAATGAGGCATGTGAGCTTTACCATAGACTGAGTTCATGCAGATCTTTGCATGTTTATAGTTCTTTAAAGGGTTTAGCGATGAGCTCAATTTCTGACTTATCATCTTCCTTTATCCTAGGTCTCTTAGCCAAGGCAGTACAAACACAGCAGTACTTGATGTCGCACAAACAGGTGGACACAAAAAACGGGTGCGTCGCAGCTCATTTCTTAATGCCAAAAAGCTGTATGAAGATGCCCAGATGGCTCGAAAAGTCAAGCAGTATCTCTCTAACCTAGACTTAGAAATGGATGAAGAAAGTCTTCAGGCACTGTCCTTGCAGTGTGAACCAGCCAGCAATACACGTAAGTGTTGTTTTTTTACTCTCTATTAGTATCCCAAATGACAGGGATGAAATAAGTTTAAATTAAAGAATTACAGTATTCTGAATCATGTTCCTCTGTATCCTCATAATTATTAGGGTACAGATGAACTGCACCCAAGTCAACTTATACTAATAATAATTTTATTTTGGCATTAAGTTCAGGCCTGGCTATTCATAAACATTTGGGTTTTATTTATTAAAAAACTTTGATTTTTATAATTTGTTAATTTCTTAATTAAATCTAATCTTTCTTAAGGTATATAAGTTTATGGAAGGTTACAAATAATAAATACATGAAAATAAATTAAAATATTTTTTTTTTGTCATGTAAGTAAGAAAAGTCTTTATGATTAGGCTATTTGCATTAGCAAACTGGTTACTGTACACCAATGCAGATTGTATTTATACTTTCTTATACTTTTGTTTTTAATATCTTATGTTTTCATGCCTTAAATTATGTAAATAGTTTTATTACTCTTTATTATGATGCCATATTATTTTTAATGATAATTGCCTTTCAGTTGAATAAGGAATATTTTAGAATATTTAGAGAACAGATTATATTTTATTTTTTTAATAGATATTAACACCTTTTGTCATTAATTTAAAATTCAAACATTCTAACAGACTCAATTATCATCTTAATCTATGCCATTCTATATTTTTTGTTGAAGTACCCAAAACTCCAGGGGACAAACGGTCTGGAAAAGCTGAAACGTCCCCAGTAACACATCGGTCAGGGATGCAACAGAAGACTCAGCAGCAGCAACAGTCCAAAGCAAACCAGGTTTTACAGGTTCCTGCTGTATCACTTTATCCTTCTCGTAAGAAAGTACCAGTAAAAGATCTCCCACCATTTGGTAAGTTCCACAAAGAATTTTGTTTGGGAGGAAAACAAATTTTCACTAGAAAAATTTCAATAACTTTGCAAATAAAAGTATATACAATTGTTATTAAGAATTATGATAATAATAGTAAAATCTAATAGAAGCTAAACTTAAAGAAAAGATAATAGGAGGGAAAAGAATAATGAAAAGGAAAAGAGAAGAAAAACAAGAATAAGACTATAATAAAGAAAAAGTGTATAAAAGTGTATAAAGATTTCAAATCTTCATCACAAGTATAAATATACTTTTCATCTTTTAATGTTACAAATAGTTTTGCTTCACTCCATATCCTATCTCTTAGCTTAGCATGTTATGCCTTGTAACAACCAAAACAGGATCTATTTCCCGCAAGAATCTGTTCATATTTTATAATTAATTCCAAATTTTTATTGTAAATGATTCACTATTCCAATTTTATTTGGACCCTAAATGGTTTTTATAATTTTCTACGATCAAAATCTTGTTTAGCTTTTTGGCGTTTCCTTCAGATTTTTTTTTTTAAAGTGTATGATTAAAACTTTTTCTGTTCATGATTAAAAGCAGAATCACCCAGCCTTTTTAAACTTGTCACTCCGAAGGTCTGTAATAGTAGTTGATGAGCAATTTCCAAAAGTGATTAGAAAGCAAGGTTTTTGAACTTAATGTCTTTTAAGTCTCCACTGTGGTTGGGAGCGAGATGATGAATCGCATCACCTCCTGGTGCGAAAAATGCAGTCCCGCATTTCTCTTCTCTTCATGAGGAGAAGCCATCCAGAGCATATGTGGATGAAGTCTGATCCTCTCTTTACCCGGAGAGTGAATTGGTCATTATTTGCATGTATTTTATTCAAACTTACTTTTTACTATGATGAGTTATACATATCAGTTGTTTCTTCTGAGTCATAATAATTTGTGAATTGGCATGAGTTGACTTTAGCAAGAGTGTCATACACTTTGAGATTTGGGGGTCATTCTTCTGTCTCAGTGTATTACCTAATTTCATGGCAGGGGTGGTGAAGATAAATGTAAATGGGTAATGAGCTTTACAGGGAAAGGGTGAGTTAAAATGTAATTAATATTACATATGAAAGGTCCACGAAGTGCCTTTTTATGCACATACTGACTGAGGAAAGTGTGTGTGTGTGTGTGTGTGTATATATATATATATATATCTGAAGTTTGTTTTCCTTTTTCTCTTTAAGGCATAAACTCCCCACAAGCTTTAAAGAAAATTCTTTCACTCTCTGAAGAAGGAAGTTTGGACCGCCACAAGAAGCAAGCAGAAGACACAATTTCAAATGCTTCTTCACAATTATCTTCTCCTCCCACCTCACCCCAGAGCTCTCCAAGAAAATGTACTTTAGTTACATTTTTAATTTGTTAAAATATTTTTAAAAATATAGTTTAAAATATATTAATATACTTTAAAATATAATATATTTGATAATATACAATATATTAATACTTTAAAATTCTCATATGCTCTCTCTAATCATAGTTAGCTATAGTAACAGTTAACAATAGCCATAATCTTTAGTTGCCAAAAAAATAATACATTGCCAAAAACCCTGTAAACTATGTTTTATAATGAAGAGACATTTGCTTCCATTATAAATTATATACTATGTCATAAAGTCCCTTAAGGGAATAATTTTCTCTGTGTTCTTAAATTTATATTAAATATGCATAAATTTATAGGCAATATTGAATGCTTCGTCTCAAAAAAAACCAAACCCACTGCTAACAGTTTTTAACACTCCCTTTACATTCAGTTGACTGAAAAAATTAGAAAAATGCTGATTCATCTGAACAGACTTAGAGGAGTTTAATTAACTCAGCCACAGCCAATTTTTATAGTTATTTCATAATCACAAGTTCTATAACTTTATTTCTGGTTTTGTTTTTTCTTCAGAAAAGTCAGTTTTCATTACTTTTATGAGGCTGGGAGCTAAGGCTGGGAAAATAGGTTTCTCTGTCGTGACCCATATGCTGCAAAGAAGTCTTTTCCTTGGAAATTTGATTAGCCCAGACACCAGAGAGCTTCTGAAAGCAACAATACACAGCATTTACAAAGCACTTTTTAAACATCATGAAATAATTAATCTTCTTAATATTTTTTTTCTTTATTTCTTGCTTTGTCTTTAGACTGAATGGTAGTTATTTTTAATTATAATTTCTTACTGTTCCATTGGCATTTATGTTCCTTTTTGTGTGCTGTCAAGAATCATAATTACAGAAGTATGGGAATTTAATAAGTCATAGGATTGCCTTCATTTTCAGGCATAGTATCTCCTTATGTGGAGATAAATTCTTTCAAAAAGCATATAAGTAAGTTCAAGGAAAGTAAATTACTACTGCATATTTTAAATTTTGTACTATTAAGGATAGAATAGCCCAACAGTTTATTAGTTTATTGTGTCAGAACTGAATAAAAAGTGCAAGTATAGTTGTCCATTGTGAAGGAATCATGCTAAAGGTTATATGACTATATTCATCAGGACTGAAAAAGAACAGATTGTGCGAAGCAGGGTTTCAAACTGATAAAAAATACACATTTATCAAAAAAGTACATTGCATATTATACTTCCTCCTTTTCAAACTCAGCATCTTGGAAATGAGATGTTATCAATATTCCACTGTACTTTATTTGTTTTTGGAATAAGAAGACATTTGAATTAGTTTTGTTCATTTGTAGTTTTTATAAAAATTGTGGAAAATTTTATTAAGTAATTAAACTATTCTTCCTGCAGGTTACATGCTGGCTCCTAGTGGCACAGTGGATAACTTTTCCGACTCTGGTCACAGTGAAATTTCTTCCCGGTCTAGCATTGTCAGCAATTCTTCTTTTGACTCCATGTCTCTACAAGATGAAAGAAGACAGAGGCATTCAGTCAGCATTGTCGAGACTAATCTTGGAGTGGGCAGGATTGAAAGAAGAGCCATGGTTGAACCGGATCAGTACAGTTTAGGGTATGATGTTCATGTCTTCTATGTATTTAAGATTTCTATGTGATTTTTATTTATTTATTCCGCTCTTTGAATCAGGTTTTGAATACATACGTTGTTATACTTCAACAATTTTGCCTGTTGATGACTTAGAAATTATACGAAATATAAGACTAAACCTATAGGATTTATAAGATCAAATCTATAAGATCTGTAATAAAGATCAACTGTCAGGCATGAACAACCGGATACACACATGTGGTGTTCAAACTTGCTGTTTTATTGTTTTATGCCTATTTCACAGGAATATTGTCAGCCAGCAGTTTTTGTCTGGTGAAGATTAGATAAGGCTCAAATGTATGGGGTGGGGGGTGGTTGAGAGTCAGACCTTGTTCTTCTTGGGTTTACTTAACTAGTCCAGACTAATTCCAGTCTTGAGCCCTCCTCTCTGCTGTACTTTTAGATTCAATAACTAAAAGATCTTTCAAAGCAGATCAGCATATAAATATAGATAAGTCCTTTATGCAATGGTTGAAGCAGTGTAGCCTTTTACTGGGCTCATAAAACTTAAACATTGTGTATGTGTGTGTATATACATCCACCAATGCATCTATTTATCTGTGTATCACCATACCATATACGTTTCTAAGACTGATCTGTTTTTGTTTTTTTTTGCTAGATTTGAATATTTTCTTATTTATTTCATTTATATTCTTATTCTTATATTATATTCTTATTCTTATTCATTTATATGAAATAAAGAAAAATAGAAAAAATACATGTTGAAAAACCAACCTTCTTACTTGAAATAGTACTGATTATGATAGATTTAGTTGCCAGTATTTGGACATTCCAGTACAAATAGTCTTCAACTTATGACCACAATTGAGCCCAAAATTTCTGTTGCTAATCAAGGCTAATCAAGTGAATTCTGCCCCATTTTATGACCATTTTTTTTGCCAGGGTGGTTGAGTGAGTCAGTTCAGTTGTTAAGTGAATCATGCAGTCATTAAGCTAATCTGGCTTCCCCCATTGATTTTGCTTGTCCAAAGCCATCTGGCAAGGTTACAAATGGTGATCCAGGAGACCCGAGGAGAAATAAATACATGCCAGTTGCCAAGTGCCCAAATTTTGATCATGTAACCTTGGGAATGTTGCAATGATTTTAAGTGTGTAAAACTATCATAAAAGTCATATTATTCAGTAGTGTTATAACCCTGAATGTTCACTAACTGAATAGTTGTAAGTTGAGGACTGCCTGGATCTGTAATGATTAAAGTGCTTTGTATAATTGCGGTAAGGGAGGAATAACTTTTTAATGTATTCGGGGGAATAAAATTTGTATAAAATTTGTCTTCTACTCTACCAGTCGCTATTGGTTACATCATTGGGTTATGTTATAGTGACTAATTATTTCATTGCTATGCACTTTTAGCTCCTATGCAGCACTGTCAGAAAACAGAGGGTTCTATGCTGCAGCAACCATGCTTTCTTCTCCCAGTACGGAAGAGCTATCCCAGGATCAGGGAGATCGAGCGTCACTTGATGCAGCAGACAGTGGCCGAGGGAGTTGGACTTCTTGCTCAAGCGGTTCCCATGACAACATACAGACAATACAACATCAGCGAAGTTGGGAAACTCTGCCTTTTGGACACGTTCATTTTGATAATTCAGGCGATGGGGCAGGACTGTGGGCCTCAGGCAGTCACATGGACCCCTTGATGTTCTCCGATCATGGCACAAAATATGCCAGGCAGAGTCAAGGGAGGGAGGGCCTTGATCAAGCACAGTCCAGAGCAAGCTGGGCATCCTCCACAGGATACTGGGGAGAGGACTCTGAAGGTGATACAGGTACCATAAAACGGAGGGGTGGGAAAGATGTATCAAGTGAAGCTGAATCCAGCAGCATAACGTCTATGACAACAGAGGACTCAAAACCAGTTGCTATGCCAGCTCACATAGCTATGCCAACAAGTAACGCAAAGGGTCTTATTGGTAAGTTTAATTTTGTTTTCCACAAAATATCCTACATATTTATTATGAATTTATTTTATAGATATTTTTATTTAGACTTTTTAAAAAATGTACCTAGAGGTTAACCTTTATCTCTTTTTTTCATGAAACCATGCTTTCTGTTGCAGATACTACTATGAAAAGTAATGCTTTCTGTTGCAGATACTACTTTTGTCATTGTCATAATAATCATCATGTTACTAAAGCCAAATTATGAAGTTCATTTGCACAAAGCAATGCATATTTATAAAGACAACGTGTGTAAATATTAAGAGTTATGGAACAGATAAATTCCCTATGCACAGTTGCTGTTTCTCACCCAATCTACTCTAGCCTATATCTTCTACCTAAGCCCACCTTCACCATCAGCTTCCCCCAACTCTGAAAGCAAATTACTGACCATATATCTTAGCATCGTAATGGTTTAGTAATTACACAGCATCCAAAGTTGTCATAATGACCCAGTTAAATAAAATTAGTTAAGAATAGGAAACATTACTCTCATTCTGAGTAGATTGACAATTTCACTTGACTGTGTGGACATATAATTAAACCAGCCAGCTTTTGGCTTACTGGGATATTTGGAATTGGAAAACCAGGTTGATGTACTCATAAAATGACTGGTGGGGATGGTGGGGGATTTCCCTTTAACAAAACAGCAAGTTACTAAGCACCACAACGTTTCCTTGTAAATTTTGTCCTTTTTCTAACAATTGAGCTGACTTGCAAATGAAGCACTGGCCCATCAGTTGATTGTCTAAGAAAGGTTATGGTCTTAAAAACAGAAATGATGTTAGACGTCCTTTGCAATGGGCCAGCTTCCCCCCCCCCCCCCCCCCCCACACACACATATACAAACTTTTTTTTTTAATGTTAAAAAAATTAGTGAGTGAGGAGTCTGGAATGTGCCAAAGCAGAACCTACAATGAGGTCCAATAATTACAGTGCCTTCTTTACTAATTTTGTCTGAATTGATTGGTTTTTCATTTTTCCCTCCTCACAAAAGGACTTTACGTTGTCTTTTAGCTTATCCAGATACCAATTCAATTTGCTTTCTACGCCCATGTTTGTGCATGTTTGAAGAAAAAAAAAAACTTGAAATGTTTAGTGAATTGAAAAATAAACAAAAACAATGGTTTTATTGGAAGAATACTTCAAATTATATGCTTTATTGGTTTTAATATAATTAACTTGCTTTTACTGATTTTATTGAACTATGCTGAAAAAATTAGGCAAAACATGAATCTTGTTATAAGGAGGGAATATATATATAACATTTAAAACCATTTATTTCACAAATTGGTTTAATATTATTACACCTTATTACATAGAATCCTTGTAGTAGCTATATTTTTATGGTACTAAAGTCGTAAGATATCTTTTCCAGATGTCACCATTCCTTTGTGAATTCCCTTTATGAGTGCTTTCTAAAATGGTTTTAAATTTCCACTTCTGATCAATTGCTTTTCTGCCTTTTCTGTAGCTTTCTTAAAGTGTTTCTATTTGTGTCTTATAAATCAGACACGCACATTAAAATAATGTCTAAACTATGCAGATAGATTGCAAAATTAAGCCTAATTAACCACTTGTGTATGATAATTACTTCATAGAAAAGTTTTACACCCATGATCAGCTCCCCATGAGAAAATTGAAAACATAACTGCCTTTTGACTGGCTTATGTAATCAAGATCATGTAAACATATCACATTTTGGAAGTCATAAAAAAGTTAGGGCTTTTGAGGAGATGCTGCAAATCCACAAAAGACTGTGACCTTTAGTGGATTTTTCATCGTTATGATGGTTTGCACAATATTGCACATAACCTAATACAGAGTCAATATCAGTATGTATTATGATGTTACACTAATATTTTAAATGATTGCTAATAGTGTATTATTTTACTACAGCTCGAAAAGAGGGTCGCTATCGTGAACCACCACCCACCCCTCCGGGTTATGTAGGAATACCTATTGATTTTGCGGAAGGAATTTCTCATCCAGCCCGAAAACCTCCAGATTACAACGTAGCACTTCAGAGGTCGAGGATGGTGGCACGGTCTAATGAAGCCCCTGGGATTTCAGCTTCACCTTCACAGCAGCAGTCACAGGGTCATTCCTCTATCAGGCCTGTTAACAAACCTCAGTGGCATAAACCAAACGAGTCAGACCCACATCTTGCTCATTATCAGTCTCAAGGGTTTTCCACAGAGGAGGATGGTAAACATCTTATCACATTTTGAAAATCATAAAAGGATAATTTCGCAAAGGGCATTAGAAGGGATGGTGCAAATCTACCAAAAAAAAAAAAAAAGACTCAGGCTCATTTAAATTTCTCACTTTGTTACCTGAATATGTTTATGAAGGAAAAGATAATAGGACTATTAACTGTTTGGCAAATCTGCTAGGTTTCTCCCAAGCCTTTGTGAAAGGTTGAAAGCTCATACCACATGCTGATAATTGTTTAAATGTGGTGTATAGCTTTTTTGTTGAAAAAGAGCTTCTCTGAACAGATGTTGAAGGCGTTTTTAAATACGCTGTTTTCTATATCAAGATATTTAAAGCAAAGCTGAAGAAACTGGCTTTCTTGATTTTGCTCCACAATACTAGCTAGGTATGGTCAAATTCCAGTGAAGTCCCTCAGGCCAATTATAAAGGTGTACTTCAGTTGTAATATATAGTTCAGGATTATAATTAAATGGAACCAAATTTAAGAATACCAAATATATGCCAGTTTGCTGTAACAGTTAAAGGCTCTGGGCTGGAAATCAAAAAACTTTGAGTCCTAGTCCTGCCTTAGACATGAGGCCAGCAGGGAAAGTTTGGATCAATCCCTCTGTTTCAGCACTAGGAAAAAGGCAATGGCAATGGCAATGGCAAATCAATTCTGAAAACTAGAAAAATGCATGTATTCCCTAGAAGACAAGACTGACAAAAAAAAGTATGTGACAAACCTATCACTTAAAAAACTTCTGAGCAGGATGTCAAATTGCCTGTCAAATTTAATTAATTGACACGTTAAAATTAACATTTAGTATTTTAGTGGAGAGGAAATAAAGAAAATATAGTCCCCCAAAATTCAGTGTTTAAGGAAGATAAAGCATGAACACAGGTATTAAGTTTTAAGTATCTTTATCTTTACTTCCCTCCTGTCATGTTGTGTTTGCAGAAGATGAGCAAGTCTCTGCCGTCTAAGAATTGGAGCTTTCGGGATTCCAAGTAAGCCAACTTTAAGGAGAGCACAAGATGACATCCCTAATATAGGAGCCTTGGAACATTAATTAAAGGATGGTGGACCTGTGCCTCCTTCCCTGCCTTAAAGCAGCATGGGCTTCTTCTCCCCTTCTTCCCTCCACCCTTTCCTCCCTTGCATGTGAAATACTGTGAAGAAATTGCCCTGGCACTTTTCAAACTGTGTTGCTTGAAATGCGCAGTGCAGCATTCTCTCAGCTATCACTGTCGCTGTCTACCACATCACACAGTATCATTCCAAATTCCAAGATCAACTCATAACTCTGACTGCACTCTCCCATGCCTGGAAGCATTTTAAATTCTTTTTCCTATCTTAATCATGATCCTAGCACTTCACTTGATTGATGAAGAGATCAACTAGTGGACAAATACATTTGGCCTTTATAAAGAAAGAAATGTATTGAAATCCTTCAAGTACCCAGTGCTTGTTTCTTGTTTACAATGCCTTTGTTGCTACTCTATATATATATATATATTGTATTTGGAGAGGGATAAAAGGTTACACCTGCGTTAACTACAGTATTATTTTGTATTATTTAAGAAAGTTTGCTAGCCTGGACTACTTTTTTTTTGTTTCAAGTGATGATGTGGTTAGCTAAAAATGGCATGGTTTATAGGAAGGATTCAGCCTTTCAAGCTTTGTTTTTAGTGTTCCACTCAAAACACAGTTGATTAATTTCAGAATTGTTGGTTTTGTTGCTTTGCATCTCTAATGGTGTGATTCTATTGACTCTTGCAAATAATCTGTGAAGAAAGTTAGTGTCCTTTTCCTGTGCCTTAAGGAATACAGGATGGTGAGTAAAAAATATTTGTCCTCAATTGTCAAATGGCAATATCATCTTTTACTGAAAATATTTACATTATTTTTTTTCCCATCCTCCTCCTTGTACTACATAATGGGCTTTTGTCACACAGAAAGAATCAGGGTAATGTATTAAGGCAATTCAGCACACCCTGCAACCAGTGCCAATCCTTAATACTAATCTCAAATTGTGTTGCTATTGGCTTGGCATTAGAAAATAGTGAACCTTTTGAAGAAAGTAGGTGTCGCTCAGCAAGCTTTTGCAGTGAACTATTATTCACAATTGTCTTTTACAGAACATTGCATATATAGACGAGGCCAGTGGGTATCAATCACCTGCTTACAGCTGCTATGAACCCTTTAGTGTTGGAAATGAAACTACATCCCCTTTCTATTTTCTGTTGTTATTTTTGGTTTTGCACAGACTCCAGAAAAGTGAAGGCTGCCAATCCGAGTAGTACTCAAATGTGAGAAACTGCTGTTCTTGGATTTTTTTTTTCATTAAATTCAGCTGATCATATTGATCAGTAGATAAAAGTAAATAGTATCAAGTTATAAAGATCAATTTACAGTGGTTTTTCACTGTATTGAACAATGTCAGTGCTTTATTTAATCTCTTTCTTCTATAATCATAGCTTTTCTCTATTTGCTTATATATCACATTGTCAATTATGCATTTGTAATTTTACATGTAATATGCATTTGCCAGTTTCATTATATAGGCTATGGACCTCATGTGCATATAGCAAAACAGAACAAACCTAGCTGTCTCACAAGTTGCACAAATGTTATATAGGAATTAAGTAATTGTAGACCATAGGACTGCTAATCTCAGTTCACTCTGTGATGTCAAGTGCAGAATGTACGACTTACTGGTGATTTCCTCATACTTTTGATACTACTTGTACCTGTATGTCTTTTAGAAAGACATTGGTGGAGTCTGTATCCCTTTTGTATTTTTAATACAATAATTGTACATATTGGTTATATATTTTTGTTGAAAATGGTAGAAATGTACTATGTTTATGCTTCTATCCAGTTTGTATTAAGCTGGAATATAAATAAATATAATGTTAATGATGTCTGATTTGTTTCATGCTGATTTGCTTGGGAGAGGGGGGTTTTGTGCAATATTCTTACATGTGGGGGGGGGGGAACCATACATATAACTTTAGTCACAGAAGTTATTTGAGGAACTAATATTGACATAAAATCAAGATCTAGTACTAGTAATATTATGGTAAAAATCATGCACACATTTTCATCCAAAATATGCAGCAAGATATAAAATATGATATCTCATTTTAAGTTGGTTGGTCAGTTCCTGTCTCAACCAATAACGCTCTATTCATCTGAAAAAGAAAGAGCAGATCCTGAACTTGCAGGAAGAGGACTAGGAAGAAAATATATATATATATATATATTAACCCAATTTATTTTATGAAATATTTAATGCACAAGATAAATTGCTAACTATTACAGAAATTCATTTTATTTACCATGAGACTAGATTCTATGAAATAACTATGAAGAGTTTTAGAAGGTTACTTTTATACAACTTGTTTTATTGATAGCATAATCTACATCTTATTTCTGTTCTCTGAAATCAAGGTCTGGATTTATTAGGGTTGATGATCTGTGGTGGTCCTGTACTGTATGAATGTATCCTTATTTTATAACAAAGCAAACTGAAACAAATTTCACTCCTGTAATAAATAGTCACGTAACTTTTTTTTTTTAAAAAAAATGAAAATTGGATTGTTAGCTTTTGAAATACATTTAAACATATTGAATATAACAAAAAACAAATCTCTCCCCAATATGCTATAAAATTATTTTCTGGTACAGATAATACGTTGCATTATTTTCTCTGTTGGGAAATGTTAGACGTGGATAATTCCATTTTGGTAAGGGTGACTGGATACACACAGCCATTTTATATAAAAGATGGACAGAGATGAAAGTCACAGAATAAACGATGCTGTAATTGTTGAATAATATGTTGAGTATGAGATGATTACATTTAAGTTTTTTACAAATATGCTTGAAAGTGTTAAAATGTTTCACACAGTATATCTGTGGAAATTCTCAGTCATCCAGGTCGTGGTTGTCCCAAAGGTGCTTTTTCAAAAGGCAACTGGACTTTGGTTTTCCTACCAAGTCCTAAAAACAAAGTCCAGTTGCCTTTTGGAAAAGCACCTTTGGGTTTTACACAGAATTTAAGTATAAATCTCCAAAATTAAACCTGGTGTCTTATTCAGATAATAGTATCATCATCTCCTTTTAATGACCCCATAATCACTTGCGGGTTGGAGTCAGGCCAACTGAATGGAGCTGAGTGTTTACTGGTCGGATGCCCTTCCTGTCACCACTGCGGAATTTCATTCAGCAGATCTATTCTCTTTGTGTCCAGAGAGAAATGCCTGCCTCTACCTAGGATCAAACCCACAGCTCCCTGATTGTGAGGCAAGAGCTATACCTCTAGGCCACCGCACCACTCATTCAGATAATAGTATAATTGTAAATAAACAAATGCTGTTTCTGTATGTATTGTCTTTATCTAAGAGAACACCCAGAGTTTATGATAATCTTCAAAAACAAGCCAAATCAAAACAAGGGAAAATACATTTTGTCAGAAATGGTCAAAATGTAAAGCCAGACAGCAAAGACAAGTTCATTCTTTGTCAAGTCCAGTTGGTGAGGCAATGTTCCAAGGCACCCATGCTTTCATAGTTGCTGAAATGACCCTTCATATGAAGAGGACTAAACTCTCTGGTCTTTATGTTTAGAAAGTGATAATGTACAACAGGACAGCAGTAGGAAAGTGCCTGAGTTGTGAATATACAGCAACAGCCAAAAGTTCGAGGATCAGTCATAAATCCTTTTGCAGCAAAAAAATACTGTATAACTTTGAACAGTTGCTGAATAAGCAGTAAGTGAGGACTATCCGTATAGATAAAATCCACCCATTTTTAAAAGTAAGAAAAGTGTGCTCCATGAGTTGCTTGGGATCCAAATTAATCTTTCCCCCCTTTGGACCATTTTTGTAACTGCAGTCTTAAGCTTTGTACATCCCTCAACCTAAAATATTCTAAAAATATTTTGACATAAATATTTTCTTGATACGTGAGAAAGTAGAGAGAAAATCAAGTTTTGATATAAGAATGATATTTTTTTAAAAAAAGTGTAGATTTCTTTATACTTTTCTCAGCATACACCTTTAGCCTTATCCAACACTAGCTTTCAATAAAGATTATTTTTATAGAGAGTATGTTCATACCTATTACTTGTACAACTTTTTTTGGGTCCCAGAATTTTATTTTCTCTGAGATGATACAAAGTATCACATTCTGAGACAAGCTTTTTTATTAAAAGATCAAGATCATCTGTGTTTTGTGGAAAGTATTTTATAAGATGCCCTTAGTAGTTTTCATAGGAAACGGCCAAAGCCATCCTGTAACAACGGTTCAGTTTCAAAATGATTTCAATATTTTGCAGATGTTTCAGATCCAAAACAGAACATCTTACAATACAGAAAGTTTCTACCTATCAATCAAAACCTTATTCTAGTTCAAGTGTTCTAATTACTGCAAGACAACTTTATGGGTTTCTAGTAAGTCTAAAAAAAAAATGCCTTTCATCATTTGTCTCTCTGCTTAGCCTTCCATATATCTATATCTGACAGAATGCCCCAAATACCTTTCTGATACCAATGGATTCTTTTCTTACTAGCTTCCCAAAATAAGAAATATTAGAAATAAGGTGAAAAAAAGTTCATTAAAATAATCTTTAACTTAACTTTTTTAAAAATGTAGGAGATTGAATTTGTCAACCATTGATGCAAAACTCCAGACCCTCTCCCTGTATTAATTCTCTTTAATCTCCTTCTCCAGGTATTTCAAAACCAGTCATTGCTTAAAGGAGAAAATTATCTATGTTGGCAAAGCTGTCCATGCTGTTCAAAGATGGGCAGTCCAAGGTGAAATCATTCAAAGAATTCTATATAGCACCGTAGAGTGTCTTCAATATAATAGTCCATTTCTTTTTGCCATCCTGGCTTTTGTGCAAATTTGTTTTATGTACCAATTGTATCCATTCCTTAACTGGGAGGCCTTGCTCATGGAAACTAATACCTCAATCACTCCTATGTAGATTTCAGTAACTCACTCTACATGGGGCTGCCTTTTTAAAATACTTGGAAGCTGCAGCTGGCCCTGAATACACAGATGTGGGCAGGTTTTTGGCATTTCTCATTATATCCATAAAGCACCGCTCTCTCATGAGCTGCGCTGGGTCTCAGTAAGCATCTTGTTGTGTTTTAAGTTGCTGGTTATCATCTACAGAGTGTTCCTAGATACTGTGGGAATCAAAGTAATATGAAAAAATAATAGTTGTTGGGAAATGGGAATTAACTTAAGATGATTGAACGAGTGAATATATTGCAACTTACATGTGAATTGTAAAAGTAGCTTTGAATGGCCTTAATAGCTGAGAAGACATTTAGTGTACCTTAATGACATACTTTCTACCACAGAGGTTGTCTCAATGTAGCACTACTGGCTTTAAATAATTTATGTTGAATTACTTTAATGTTTTATACCTAAATACTTATGCATTTCTTTTTTAAGGTAAGCAAAATTATACTGTATATAGAATAGTAAGCCAAGGAAATTCAAGACATGAGATGAGGGGGGAAAAGGAAATACAGCAGGGGTGGGATTCTACCAGTTTGCACCTATTCGCTAGAACCGGTTGTTAACATTCTAAGCAGTTCAGAGAACCAGTTGTTAGAAGAAATTACTGGCCTAATCCTGTAAAGAAGGCAGGAAGGAAACATTCTGTTGTTGCTTACAGAAACTGCCTCTCCATTAACCTTTTATATATTCTTGGCAGGACTACACTTCCTGTCTCTGGAACTTCTCTGGAGTTCTTTTTTCCCCCTTTGCTGGTACTTTGCTTGTGTGGAGTGACCATTCAAAGTTACAATGGC